CTGTAAATCTACTATGATTTTTTGTAATTTAAAAAAAAAAAACAATTTAAAAAAAAAAATTACCAAATACACTGATCTAAAAAAGTTATATAACTATATGAAAAAACCTCCAACCACAATCCCAAACGCAGCCTTAGCTTGAACCATATCCAACAATTGCTCTCGAAAATCCCCATTACTCCGAAACCCAATAGCATTCCTCCAATACCATGAAAACCAAGACACAACCACCAAAAATACATGCACCCATCTCCTTTCCAACCAACATACCCAAACTACCCATAAAAAAATCTACCACCCCCCTCACTGTATCTGGCATCACCACCTCTAAACCCCACCAATTAAGCACCTTAGCCCACACTAACCAAGCTTCTTTACATGCAGGTTGACATCCTCCACCCCCTCATTACACAAACCACACCTCATTCCGTTCCCCTACAAAACCACCCCTCTTTTCTACAAATTCCATCTTGTGGGAACAAGACACAACCTCAACCCAAAAAGACTCACTTTTAGAAGACACTAACCTACACCAAATCAGTTTGCAAAACTGGATTTCAAGCAAACACTCTATAGGAGCTAAAAAATCAGAAGCTCTCTTCACCATATATCTACCTTCCAAATCATACATCCACTGTTAGGAATCCTCCATGCCTTCCTTAATCTATATCCTACCCAGCACCACCCACAACATTCCCTCATCCTATCCACACCCCATTCTCCCCCATCGCCACTCCATATGCCACTGCCACCTTTCCCCCTCCCATTTCCCCATTTCCCCATCTCCCTTACCATTCCTTTCTTATTAACAGCTAACTGAAATAGCCTAGGACATAAATCCCTTAAAGATCTATCTCCTACCCAAATATGTCTCCAAAAACCCACCTGACTTCCATCCCCTACCACACACCTAAACCCCTTCAACAACATATTCCTTAACCTCACATATTTCCCACCTATACCAATGATATCTCCCCAAATCTTAGACTCCCTCAAATTCTCTACCTCAAAACTTGATTGGAATTAAGAAAGCAACCTCTATAGTTCCATATATATAAGAAATGTACTTTTATCATACAAGTAAATGTAAGAAAACAACATTTGTTTTCTAGAAGGATATCCTTTCTTTAATACTATAAAATAACACATGATTTAAAGGTTTTGCATGAATTTAATAATACATAATACAAGTTGCACAAGTGTACGAGAAATAAAAAAGATGTCTTTTTTTTTTTTTTGGTAGAAAAAGGGAATCGGTTTTAGTTAGTGAGGTAACATTCTGGGCACCAAGCAGCACCAAGCAATGTGACAACTTCACATCCAACTTACGTGTACACCATTCAGACCTGCAACAAGCTGAGAAAGCACCCTCAATATACCTCCATGCATGTTTACAAGATATGTACCCTTATCAAACAATTGTAGAGATGATGGAAGCATGAGACCGACTCACCATCAAATTTCACTTGGAAATGACATAAGCCACAATTTCTTTGATCTCAATTTTCAGAATCACCTTGACTCTGCGGACATAGAAACACCACAATACTGAAGGTGAAAAGAAAAATTATAGCAAAAATTTCCCTTCTCAAAATCATGATCTATCAAGCATTTATACATACCTTTCTACTTTTTCCTGTTATTTTAAAGACTCTAAGTGAAGATTTGTGTAATAAACGAAACGAGAAATAGAACGAACTTAAAAGAAGAAAAACCTATAGAGATCTTTTGAATTAATGCATACCTTTCGCATCAAATGTAGTTGTATGGTCGAGTTTAGGTTGTCATCCCAAAAGCCTTCATCTTCATCTCCATTCAATTTTACTTTTTGCAGTTTTGGTGTCCTTATTTCATCCATAGAGAAAGTCTGCATACTTGGACAATCCATCAAAATCACCTCTTCCAAAAATGGGAACTCAAACTTGCATTTAACAGAGCAAAAGCTTGAAAGTCTAAGCAAACCACAAAGTTGCAAATACTTGAGTTCGCTAAAGACAATCTCATCCTTCACATCATCCTCCAAGCATGTGATGGTTTCCAACAAAGGCAGCAGAGTGGCCTTTTGAGCTTGCGATTGACTAATACCAGGTTCTTGAGACTCAAGTATCTCTTCAAGTGAATCACAGTTCCATATTTGGAGTTTGTTTAGTCTCTGAAGCCTTTCCACCATACTAAATGGGAAAATATTCATTAACTTTTCGCATCAAACCACGCTCACCAAAGTTAGTTGGCAAAAAGAATTTACTTCGAGTCGGTCATTCCATATCTTATTCAAGCACTTCACATGTTCAATGATCAAACGCTCTAATTTGGGGAATGCCACCTAGAGATTTACATAACTCAATTAAAATTAAACATAATCATAGATGTAATGGAATGAAAAATATTGGAATCTAATTTTTAAAATGTAAAACTTTATGAGGACGAGAAAATAATAATAGCATTATAAGACATTAAAAAGAAAAATATAAAGGGAAAAAAAAGGGAGAAATCACCTTTGCGTCGAACAAAGAAAGTGCACAAGTGTTTCTGACATTATCAGAACTAGCTACCATGTCTCCAAAAATAAATCTAGAGATGGAAGTCTTCAGCGCAGGACACTTGCTTATCTTAAGTTTCCAAAGGCATGGTAATTCCAAGTAATTTCCAGAACAAAATCTTGTGAGTTTTGGAAGGTCTTGGAGTAGTAGGAACTCCATGTTAGGGAAGAAAATCTTGCACATCCTTTCCTTGTCCACTGATTCTTCTACAAGTATTATCTCTTCCATCATATGACAATCCTGAATCTCAAGCCAATTCAATTGCTCAAAACTCTTAACCATGGAGGACGTCAATAGATTTTTCAAATTACCACAACCCTCCACACACAACTTTCTTAAATTTTGGACATAAGAAGATATCTTTGGAATCAAATTGTCCAAAATTTGTTGAATGTTATTTGAAGACAAACTCAAAAACTCCAAGTTGAGAGTCTCCACCTGCAAAGACTCATAGTTAGTCTGTTAATACAAGACATTGTAGGAAGATGACTATCATATTTGCTTAATGTTAACTTTAAAAATTTTAAAAACTCCATGTTGAGAAAGTCAACCTAACAGAATTTTCATCAAAAAGTTTTTGTTTTTTAATTGATTAAACTAAAAACATTACAAGGATAATATCAAACCAAGAACACGAAGACAACGTGCAATTATGTGAAGTACATTGTTATTTTGAGTAGAAAATAGTGAACTCTTTTTGGACTTAACGTTATTTGGGTCAATGCGGACAAAAAAGGGAAAAAATGTTATTTGGATCAATAATCCTACCTTAAAACTTGAGTAACTTCACATTTTAAGTGGTTGTTCTAGCCCGGAGTCTTTGTTTTCTAATGGTGTATTAAGTGGAACTTGTTTAAGGAGATTCATTCATGAAGCTAAAAAAGTGGAGATGGCAACATTGACAAGCGAAAAGCAACGATAAATATACTGTAAAATCTTAATTACAATAAATAAATATATAAAACTAACCATGTTGCTGTAAAAACAAAGAAAAATGGAAAAGAAAAAAAAAAGAAACTAACCTTACTGCTAAAGAGGTATTGAGATTCCTCTTTGTCGTGCTCTTCTAAGGATGTAGAAGCAGCACATGTGACCATCTTTGGGCAGTCCTTTACAATAAAATCATTTAAGCTTGGAAGCTCAAGACTATTGACTTCCCACATAGAAACTTGTCAAATCCAAACAAGACTCTAGATTGATCAAAGAAAGATGTGAGAATTCCATTTTATTTTCTGCTCCTTCTCCCATTATCACTTGTTCCATTGTCCCACAGTTTTTTACTATTAACTGCAAGAGTTGCACTAGGCCCATGGCCATGGAATGGGTTAAGAGGTACTTGAATTTGCTACAATTACAAATTTCCAGCACCTGAAGCGGTCTGAAATCTAAGAGTCCTTGAGGATTCTTGATATACCATGTTTCCATGAACTTAGGAAAATCTGATAGCATCAAAAGTTGTAACCCAGCAAATCCAACCTACGCAAGTGCCAAAAAGCAAGGGCAGTTATGTATATAACACAATCCAAAAATAAAGCAAACAATTTTTTATAAAAAGAATGAGTGGCTTCAAATATTTAGAAATCAATTCATACCTCTTCCATGTACGTTCTTTGTATGGTAGTATTAAGGTCATCTTCCGAACGGTACCTGTCCTCTCCTTTAATTAGTACTCCCCATAGCAATGGTGTATCTAGCTCTCCCTCACTGAAGATCTTCAACTTGGGGCATTGCTTTACAGTTACCAGTTTTAAACATGGGAATTTGAAGGTGAAATTTTCTGAACAAAAGCTTTCTAGTCTTGGCAACCGCTGAAGTGTCAAAAACTTTAGTTTAGCAAAAGTGATCATGATATAATCTTGCATTCCATCTCCTTCACTTCCAACTATTTTAGTCAACATGTGGCAGCTCTCAACAGTTATACTTTCTAGCTGCACCAAACTTTGTGCTGTTGAGACTGAAACCAGATTCATCATCCCTTTGCAACTTGTTACGTTCAAAGTGGTGAGATTCTGGAAAGATGAAATTGAAGTTGATAATATAATCAAACTATCACATTTGAATATATCAAGAGTTTCAAGATTTTGAAGGACACTCAGTGAGTCATGGCTCCATATATGCCTGAGATATGGAAGGCACTTTAGATTTAATGTTTTAATCCTTGAGAGTGTCTTAATCTCAATGTGTTTCTCTTGTTCTTCAACTTCTCCTTTTGAAGGGAACAACTCTTTAAAATTACAATAGCTCACAATGAGATTTTCTAGATGGCAGAACCTTTTTAGGAATCCAACGGGCAAAACATCTAATTCATCATCAAGGTAGTCCTGAATTTGAAGAACTTTGCCATTGAAAAGGATGTCTTGTTTAGACTCATGCTCACATATCATTGCAATGTCATCTCTTGTTAATGATAGTTTCTCCAATTGAGGGATGATCTAAAAAAAAATAAAATTTAATAAAATAAGATCTTGTGATTTTATATATAAAAAAGAAAAAAAAATTATTAAAAATATTAAGCGTATTTTTCACATGAAAACCAAATACCCTCTTATTGCTACTTGAATTGAAAATGATGCATAAATAGCGTATTTTTGGGTGGAATGAATGTAATGATCCTACCCTTAATTGTACAGTTCATAAGTTTCTATTCTTAATTGTCAAATCTAACTTGCATAAAAACAAAGTTTCAGGTTTGCATGTAAATTTTCAGAAATTTTTATAATGGAATACAACTATCAAGTCTATTTGGGGTGGTAATGACATATGGCAAACATCCAAACAGTTTACATTTGCATGTAAGCATTAAGCAGTTGTATTTGCATAATTTCTAAACTAGAAGCCAAAGGAAGAGAAAGGGCTTCTGTCTATGTATTTTGTGAGACTTGGTGTTTGATATCTATTTCGTCAAACCATGATTATTATAGCTTCTGCTATGTGCTTTATACTATTGTTTGAGTCTATAGAGGGTTGCAACCTATGCTAACTACTAGTCAATTGTTTGGGTTCCAAGTTGAGCAACTTTGATTGATTGGACCTCTATGCAGTAGGGAGGCTATGGTTGGCAATCTGCTTTTAATGTGAAGTGCACCACAAATTGTTAAGTGGACTCATAGACTCTGTGATTGTTTGTTTCTCTAAATTGTTTGGTAATCTAATTTTATTTATTATATATGTTTGAAGTTAATGATTTAGTGTTGAATTTATGAAGAACTTATCTAAGAGATTTGATCTATATGGTTAAGCTATGCCCGCCACCTTCATAATCTATCTTTTTTGGATTCTGGTTATAAGTTTTAACATGGATTATTTGATTGTTCTTGTTAATTTGACTCAAAGCTCACTTATAGCTTTAGGTTATAACTTATGCTTACTGAACTTCATAGCTCATGTTTGTTTCTCTAACCATTTTAGGTTAACCGAGTACAGCTAGTGTTTTTGGAAGTCTAGAAATTTCTTATGGTTTATGCGAAGGTATATTTGATTTTCCCAACATTGCATATGGCTCAAATTTTTTTAAGTTTGTTCCAATCCTGGGTATAAAATCAGATGAGAGTTCTTCAGTTAAACCAATCATTACACTTTGTAAATATATTTTGAAATGGACTTCCGCTAAATACATGTATAAATGATTTGACTTTAAAATAATATGCCTTTCACTTATAAGATACTATCTCTTAACTTAATACCTCTTGCTTACCATTCCTGGCTTCTAAATCTTAACATTTAATACACTTTTATACTAGATCAGATTATGCATTCAAGTGATATGAGTTCTTATTTTTAACCAAATTTTCTAACCGTGATAGTAATTAGTTTTCTCTACAGAATCCAAAATCTAAAGCCAGCACTTTCTCCCTTCATGATCACTAAATAGCTTGTTTTTCTTAGCCTACAAATCAAGATTTTCTTTATAGTGATTCGATAGCCATAATAAAAGAGTTTTTAATGTTTTTCTTAAACGAACACAAGCAGATTTATTTAACAAAGAGATTCAAAACAATAATGACAAAGTTAAAGGAATACTAAGAACCATTTTCAAGCAATGTTGCAAACAATATTTCGTTAAAAAAACCACTCGAGTCTCACTAAAGCAAGTTATTGCATCTTTCCAATATGATATCATTATCCATGTATGGTGATTATTAAAAATTAATGACTTGTTACATGATATATATTTGTAGTAAGGTGTTCTTTTATTATTTTATTTTGGAGAGGGGTTCTAATTTCACAATGGAAAGTTATGATACGAATCGTACCTTTTCTGTAGAGAAAAGTGGTAGTCGTACAGGGAAGTCAAGTTGCCCACACCCATCTGCTCCCTTTACTAGATTGAAATGGGAAAAATAGAACTTTTTTAACATTTTCCACATTGTTGTGTGCTTCCTTGGGTAGAAACATTGTAGTCTTGTTAGCACCTCAAGCTTAAGACTTATTACTTGAGGAAATTCAAAGCTAACAATTGCTCCAGCTTATTGTTCTCCCATTGTGACAATTTCCTCCACCCCGCACCAATATAAATGTAGCTTTTGGAGTTGCAAAAGGTTTTTGCCTATTGAAGCTGGAAACAAATTTTTGAGACTCTCACAATAGCTTACCTTGACTAATTCCAGGTCGTGAAAAGTTAGTATTCCTTGGGGATCCTTATTCCACACATGCTTCAATCTTGGTAGGTCTTCAATATTCAATTCCTTGAACTTGGTGTCAATTACAGCATGTGTTTGCTTGACATTGAACTCAGTAATTTCAAATATCCCTTCGAGTGAGCCACACTGACATATAGATAACACCTCTAGGGATTTCAAGATTTTTCCCAATATATCAGTACAAGGAAAAACAGTTGATAGCTTTTCACAATTTCCAACTTTTAATGATATTAGTCTGCAAAAGGAATTTGCATATTGTTTGTTGTGCCATATGATCTCCAAGTTTTTCAAGTGGGTGATAGTCAACCTTTCCAAATTGGGAAATGCAGCCTACATAATAAATAATGCATCATGCCATTAACAGTGAAAGGATAAGGATAATTATTAGTCCCTAAAATTAAAGCCAAGATGAAGGTGAAATGAGGAACATATTACCTGTTCATTGAAGAGTGTCTGTATGTCAACTATGCAACTTGTGCTTTCAGAATATTTAACTGTGAATCCCTTCAAATCGGGGCAATTCAGTACTTCCAAATCCTCCAAGGATGAGAATTCAACAATACAATTTCCTAAGTAGAATGCAACAAGGTTTTGAAGGTCTTCTATCGATAGGTAGTTCAATTTGGGAAAAATCAAATTCTCTTTTTCTTCTGCATTCTCTGTGACAATAATCTCTCTCATCCTCTTGCATTCCCTTATTTCAAGTCGGTCAAGCATCACCAGACCTCTAGCCACACAAGATGAGAACAAAAATTCTAAATTATCAAAGCCTTGAATGATCAATTTCTTCAATTTCTTGACACAAAAAGATGTTACTGAAGTGAGCCATTTGATGTTAACATTCATCCAGCATAATTGCAGCTCCTCAAGGCTTGGTAACACAACCTGCATACAATTCATTTTGTAAGAAAAGCTTATCATTTTGTTGATGGATAAGAAAAAAGATGGTCAATGGTGTTAAAAATTGTAAAATGAAGGAGTTAAGCCATGTACTTCTTAATTGTAGTAGGAGCTGTAAGTGGTTGTGTCTTTAACTCTATATTTCTAGGGATTTATATGATCAACACAATTTTGGGGTGGTAGGTAGATCTGAGAGGGAACTTTGATCATTATTATTTTTCGTTATCACTCAGACCATGTGGATGATGGCTATGCAAGAACAAAAGGTTATTTAAAGGGAAGGACGGATATGCTTATGTGGCTCATTAATTGATTCAAAATTAAAGGAGATCATTTATGTGGACAACAGGCAATTAAGGTGGATGGTTGTGTGGTCTCTTATACAGATTGGTGTCTCAATGCTGCTATTTGTGCTTTGGGACTGACCAAAAGAAGACGTTAGAAGATCAACAAAAGTAGAAATTGCATCAGAAAACCAATGTGAAGGAACCAAGCGAAGGTAACGGGCACCATTCCTACCTATTTTGAGTGTGTATTGGTTTTGGCATGCCTTAAATTAATAGG